ACCCTCTCCAAAGCAGACCTGTTTGTTCTCTTGTGAGACCATATTATGTTCAGGACTCTTCTCTAGTACCACAACTCAAAGGAATTGATTCTTTTTCTGTCATCCTTGGTCGTTTTCCAGCTCTGTGATGCATAGCAAGTAATTGCAAAGACCATGGCCTGGATCAGGTGCACCTTAGTCTCTAGACTGGTATCATTGTGCCACAGCACTTTGGAGGGGTCCCTGACCTCAGATTTTCCCAGCGCAGTTTGTCTTTTTATTTCCTGACTGCTCGTGCCAAGAGTATTGATTGTGGAGTCGAGCAAGCTGAAATTGTTAACAACCTAAGTCTTTTCTCCATCTATCATGCTGATGCCATTTGGCCCAGTAGTAAGAATCTTATTCTTGATGCTGAGATGCAGTCCACTATAGTCCTTGACCCCTTGTAGCAAGTGCTTCAGGTCCTTCTCAGCTGTAGCACATAAGGTTGTGTCAGCAGCATTACACTGGTTATTGATGAGTCTTCTTCTGATCCTGATGCCACATTCCTCCTCATAACACCCTGCTTCCCAAATAATCTGTTCTGCATATAGATTGAAAAGGTAAGAAGACAGGACGTATGCCTGACTCACTCCTTTCCTGATTTTGCACCGTAGTGTTTCCTTGCTCTGTTCTGAGAACGGCTTCCTGGTCTGAGTATAAATTTCACATGAGCATAGTCAAGTGTTCTGGTATTCCCATTTTCTTCAAGGTTAGCCACAATTTGTTTGATTCACACAGTCAAATGCCTTTGTTTAGTCAATGAAACACAGACAGATATTCCTCTGATACTTTTTGCTTTCTGCCAAGATCATCTGACATTGGTGATAAGACTTTATGGTTTAAAATTGGGAAAAGTGTGCGTCAGGCTTGTATCCTTTCTTCATACTTATTTAATCTCTATGCTGAAGAAGCTGCCTATGAAGAAGAATGTGGACTCTATGTGGACAGCCTCTTTGAGATGCTGGACTCTATGAAGAAGAATGTAGTATCAAGATCAGAGGAAGACTCATCAATAACCTTTGTTGGCCAGAGGACACAATTTTGATTGTGAAAGTGAAGAAGACTTGAAGCACTTGCTATGTAAAGTTAAACACTGCAACTTTCAATATGGATTGCATCTCAGTATCAAGAAAACAAAGATTGTCACCACTGGACCAGTAGGTGACATTGTGATAGAAGAAGAAAAGATTGAAACCATCAACAACTTCATTTTACTTGGATCCACAATCAGTACACTTGGTACTAGCAGTCAGGAGATCAGGAGACATTATACTAGAAACATTTGTAGTCAGGGATTTCTCCAAATTCTTGAAGAGCAGTGATGTCATTTTGAGAACTAAGGTTTACCTGATTCAGGCCAGGGTCTTTTCAGTCACTTTGTATGCATATTAGAGCTGGACAGTGAATATAGGTGACAGAACAACAATTAATATGTTTGAAGAGTAATAAATGGACTGCTAAAAGAAACAAATATATCTTGAAGAAGGTGCAGCCAGAGTGCTCCTTCCAGGCAACGATGATAAAGCTTCACCTCACATATTTTGGGCATTACTAGGAGAGACTTTTCCTTGAAGAGGTATACAATGCTTGGAAGGATGGAGGGATGTTGAGGGAGAGGAAGACCCTCAGACAAATGGATTGACACGTGACTGTAGCAATGGGCTTGAGTGTTAGAGATTGTGAGGATGGCACACAATAGAACAGGATTCAGATCTATTGTTCATAGGGTTGCTGTGAGTCTACTTAATGATTCCTAACAACAACAACAACATGGATATATAAAGGAGTCTGATAACTTAATTTGTGGAGAACTGTGCTATTAGCTGAAAGATCATGCCTCTCTTGCAGTTTGAATCTACAGTCAGATCTGTGGGAAAAATGGTCAGTCTCCTCCTGTGCAATTTATAGCCTCTAAAAGCCAAGAATCAGCTGCTGATCGATTTTTAGTTGACTGCAGTAACTTGACTTACGGATGTAAAATGAAGCATTTTATGTTGCTTGTTCCCCCAGAGATGTATTTCTCTTTTAAAATGTTAACTGTAAGATACTTTCTTTTTTGTGTAGTTGATACTAGAGATTTGGAACTAATAGCAGAATATCAAAATTGTTGGAAAAGTTGTGTAGTGCTATTTCTTAATGTCTTAAAAATAAAGGATAGTTGACCAAGTTACTTAAAATTGACTACCAAATTGAAAAGGAACCCTGAAGGATTGAGGATTAAGTACTCAGCTTTAAAAGGGTAGGTTAACAGTTCAGATCCACGCAGTGGCTTAAAAGCCTGGTTATCTGCTTATATTCTGAAAACCCCTAAGAGGCAGTTCTGTGTTACCTACAGGAACTTTATGTCAGATTGACACAGGAATACCTAGCAAGCATTCCAAAGTAGCATATCACAAGATTCCTTTATCCCTTGAATCCCATTTGTGCTTTTTGACCCATCTCTAGATTTTAGTTATATCATACCTTTTGTCTCTACTTTATCTAAATTCCACCCTTATAAGAATCCTTTGTAATGAGGGTTGCAGAGTGGATTATATTTGGGGGTAGGGGGTGGGGTTTGGGGTGGTGCGG